GCTGATCATGAGACTCTGCTTCCCCCTCCAAGGACACACTATGCAGGTGATTGAACGATCCAGGCAGTTGCCATAAGAAATGGAGCGTAGTGATTGGACAGTGCAATGGACTAAGGAGAGTGGTCAAAGGGGGAATTCAAATTTATATGGACATTTGAGTGGGAAATTCAGAGCTAGTTTTGCTTCTTTTGTGCCAATTTAGTGTATTTAATAAAAGTATTATTTTGGGAAGAACAATGTCCCAGGATTTGCTAGCTGGACATCTGACACAAATGCCCTGCAGCTTTGGAATCATGGCTCTTCTCCAAGATTAGTAATCTAGCTTTCAGGAACGTATAGCTTAACCCCTACCCAGGCTAGACCCTCTTTTATTGTACATTCATTTTTGTGATCTTGGAACCACTTGTCCCCTTCTAATGCTGCCATTACTTACAACTCAACTGAGGTCATATCCCTCATTGGAACCATTGGGGGTGCCTATAAGGAAACTTCTTAGCTAACCTTGCTGCCCTAACATCAGAAGAAGCCACCCACTCAGCATCTGCTAGCGGCCAGCCTTTCCACAGTATTAGGTATTGTAATTTTCCCTTGTGATATCTGGAGTTGAGAATCTTTTTGATCTCATAGTGCTCCTCTCCGTTAACTACAGTGGGAGGTTCTTGGACTGGCCTCAAGCCAGATTCGTAAAAGGATTTTAAAAGACTACAATTAAATATCAAATGGACCCGCCTGAGGTTTTTTGGCCATTTCAGCTCCACTGTGACAGGATTCTTGATCTGAATGATTTGGAAAATCCCTATATATTTGGCACCTAACTTTTGCAAGGTTGCCTCAGGTTTAGATACTTGGTGGGTAGATACAGTCCCCCACTCTAAATTCTTTCTGGTGGTCATTGAGGCAGATGATCAGGATGTCTTGTGGCCAATCATTCAGCCGTCAGGTCAGGTCGTGGAACTCTTGGGTGTACTCGTTATGCTGCTTCAGCCCTGGCTGATGGTCTTGATGTGGTGCCTGACTTTGCAGTTGGCAAAAGGGTCTTTAAAGCTCTTACTGAGTGCTCTCATGAAGGGATCAAAGTTCCTCAGCTCTGGGGCATTGTCATTGTGGAGGGTGAACATCCACCTCGCTGCAGCCCCTTCCAGGGCCATGGTGACACATCTCACCTGGGACAGGAAGAACCTCAACTGCTGAGGATCCCTGTCAAATTTCATGCTCAGCGGTGCAATCTTTTGGCTTTTTGTCCTTGCTGGCGCCAGCACCTTAGGCCCGCATAGGCTACCCCTCCAGGTACTGGGGTTATCGCTGTTGCTATTACTGCAAATCCAGCTCCCCTGCTACCTGCTGCAGTGGATGCAGTTGCCCCATAAGTCCGTGAGGCTGGATGCGGTTCATCATCAACCCCCCACATAAACTTGATTGCTTGCTCCATCATCCAATTGGCCTGGCCATGCTTTCTGCCTACCTCCTCCTCCTCCTCCTCCAGCTCCACTCTCTGTTCCTCTTGACAGCTGCCATGGTTCCCATCAGTAAAAGTCACCCCTGTAGGTTCTTCTTATCAGTCCTCTTTCCTCCCAATGCCTAGGAACCACTTGGGTCTCCGCAGGTCGTTGTAGCTCTCCGCTTCTCTTGTCCACGTGGAGAGATCCAGCTGGGAGGGGGCGTGGACAAAGCCTCCAGCATTTGATCTCCTGTTTGATCCCTTGAGCCAACATTGTGGGTATGGTACCCATGGTAGAGGTGATACCCTTTCTGGATTGGCTACAATTGCAGATTCTGCTTAATGTCAGACCTGCCCCAGTTTGATCTCTTAGTGCAGTGGTTCTCAACCTTTTTAATGCCGTGACCCCCAACCGGTCATAAGTCGAGGACTACTCAACTGGTCGTAAATCAAGGACTACTCAATTGGTGCAGCACAGTTTGCAGAATGGGACTTTTGGCGGGCTCAGCAGGGCAGAGACAGCCTGGACAATTCCTATTGGCTTTTGAAAGCCAATAGAATTAGACTCTATTCAAGAGAGTCTATTCTATTGGCTTTCAAAAGCCAATAGAATAAAAGGGAGTAGCACAGCTAAGGAAAAGGGGAAAAAATGGTGGACTGTGCTGTTTGGCGACCCCCGTGAAATGGTCATTCGACCCCAAATGGGGTCCCGACCCACAGGTTGAGAACCACTGTCTTAGTGAAATAAAACTCTCAACTCCATTTGGTTAAAGTGAAAAGGCACTTTTACTGAGACACATTGCAGTAAAGTCAAGCAGAATCTAAAATCCCTGTGCACCATTACAGAACTAAAACTCCTGGTTTCCCCTAGCCTCCCCCTGCCCCCGTGGTCTATCTGTGAGTAGCCAATCCAGCACCACAAAAATGTTTTGGGAAATGCTGAGGTGTTTGTGCTGGTGAAATTCCACTCTCAAGGTAGACAGCCTTGAAGATGCCAGCCTAGCACGAACTGGATTCCAAACCACTCTGTTCTTTCTCACATGACAATTCCCCCTCCCAATTTCCTATCATAAAGGTATACAGCTTTATTTCCCATTTGTTCCCCCCCTTCCCCAATTGATGGCAGAACACCAGCAAGGTGTCAAACTGAAGGGGGTGGATCTGAAGTCACTATTTTCAGCTCTGTTGTAACTTTGGTCATTAAATGAATGGTCATATGTCAAAGATTACCTGTACTAACACTTCTCTATTTAGAGATTTTGTTTGGCTTTGAACTGGAAGGTATGTATTCTTTGAAACTCCCCCTTTAATTGTGATGCCCAAGCTTGGTTTTTTGAAGGCAGGTGGGCAGCTGGAGGAGCAAGCAGGGCAGGGGCTGCCTGGGCTTCACCTGGATTTCTCTTTCTTCCAGCAATGTCCTCCAAGTGGAAGGAGCTTCCGGGAGGAGCAGTGTTCCTCCTTCAACTCCCGGGTCTACAACGGCCGCACTTTCCACTGGAAACCTTTATATCCAGGTAACCAAGTGGCGCTCTTTGGTGTTTGCAGCACAGAGCAATGTTGAAGGTTTAAAATGAATGAGGCTAGGAAAAAGGAAAATCTGTGCAAAGTGCTTTGTGTTTTGTTATTTTATTTTTATTTTAAAGATTTATACAGCCACCCATTTTGTAAAATGCAACTGGCTAGCTTTCAGGAAGCTTAAGTGGGTGGACCCTGCTGTTCTCCAGGGGAAGAGTGTCCACAGGGCAGTGGTGGCTAAGGAGAACAGGGCTTTTTTGAAAGCCTTAGATGGGAAGGGAGTGGAGCAGACCCACCCTGTCCAATCTGGACGAATTGCCAGTACCCTCTGGGAGAAGGGGTCTGCAAATAATATGGCTCTGTGCCATTCATTGATAACCAGCACCTTGAATTGCAAATTGAAAGAATCTCACACAGTAGTGATGCCACTTGGGCAAACCAAGGGGTGCTCAGCATTGCACCAGCTGCCACATTCTGGACTAGTTGTCATTTCTGTGAGGTCTTCAAGGGCGGCGCTAGGTGGAACACATTGTAATAGTCTAGCCAAGAAGTGACATGTGAGAGTCCAGTCCAGGAACAGGTTGAGTTGACACATGGGATGCATCTGTGCAAAGGCCTCAGCCATAGTTGCTACCTTAAAAAGGAGCAGCAAGAGACCCAGCCCTGCAGCACCCCACATTCTAGGAGCTCAGGGCTAGACCTCTGCCATATACCAGCCCTGGCTGGAACTGCCCCCCACCCCGAAAGGAGGAGAACCCTTACAAAGCAGTGCCTGAATCCCAGTTCTCACAGCTGGTCAAGAAGATTACGATGGTCAATGGTACTGAAAACTGCTGAGAGGGCCAGGCCACTTGGATCACCCAAGCTCTCCAGAGTTCATTCCCAAGGACAATGAACACGGTTTTAAACTGTTACCTAACTGCAGGGCCCCCAGATAATCCGCTTCATTTAAGGCCTCCTGGAGTTGAAAGGTAATCTCCTCTTCCTCACCCTAATCCTAGATAAGAAATAGTGGGGATTTGATGGAAGTTGTCCAATATAGTCCGGTCCAAAGATGGCTCTTTAGGAGGGGGTGAACCACTATCCCCTTCAAGGCAGGCACAACCACCCCTTGCTGCAAAAAGACGTTAACCACCAATTGGACCCAACTACTGGATCCTCCTGGGGGGCCTTGACCAACTAGGAGGGGCATGGGTCTGGCATACAGGTGGCTGAGATCACAGCCATGAGGACCTTGTCATGAAACTGATCAAAGAGAGAAACAATCTGGAATTAAGGAGAAACTTCCTGACAGTGAAGACAATCAACCAGTGGAACAGCTTACTCCGAGAAATTGTGGGAGCTCCCTCAGTGGAGATTTTTAAGAGGAGACTGAATATTTACCTGTCTGAGACGGTATAGGTTCTCCTGCTTGAGCAGGGGGCTGGACTAGAAGACCTCCAAGGTCCCAGTTCTATTCTATTCCATTCCATTCTATTCCATTCCTTCCTTCATTCTATTCTATTCTATTCCATTCCATTCCATTCCATTCTATTCATCTCAAGTTGTGCAAGAGTATGTGGGAAAGACCTTGGGAGATGGGGTGAAGAGAGGCTGCCTAGAAAACAGACTGCATAGCCTGCAGCTGGAGAGTGGGTGAGGCAAGAGGGTCAGAAGAGACCCTCCCTTTAGTTCCTCAGACTGTAAAGGAGATAGCGAGAATTGTACTTTCAGGCATTCGTGATTCTATTTATGTAGAATGAACTCATCTAGATATTTCTTGTCTGGTCTACCTGGCAAGGCTAGCAGGATTGACTGATGCAAACTCCTCCTACATACATTTTCCATGTATCAGACGCAAAGGAGGTTTTATAACCTAAAAAAAAAGAAAGAAACTGTATTGGTAATTGCACTGATTATTTAGCAACTCTTGGTCTCCCTCTTCTCCCTTCAGATGACTACGTCCACATCTCTAGCAAGCCCTGTGATCTCCACTGCACCACCACCGATGGGCAGAGGCAGCTGATGGTCCTGGCCCGAGATGGCACCTCCTGCAAATCCTCTTCTGTCCGAGGGGTGTGCGTGTCTGGAAAATGTGAGGTTGTTAAGCATTCTAGCTACCCTCTTGTCTGTAGAATTCTCCCAGCTGCTCTGGCTGCCTCTCAAGGCACTTTCTTTCTGCTGCTTCTAGCCCATTGGATGTGATGGGGTTCTGTTCTCCCCCCACGTTCTGGATAAATGCGGGGTCTGCCAAGGGAACGGCAGCAGCTGCACTCATGTAACAGGGAGCTACCGGAAGGGCAATGCTCCGCTTGGTAAGGCGGGGGGGGGGGACCTTGGGGACGGCTTTAGCCCTGAGCAAGTTCAGCCTTGGGTAGGGAGGGAGGCCAAGCAGAGGGAGGATCCCATCCCCTCCTCCTGGTGATTGTAACCACTGTGGTGATTTGCTTCTTACTCATAAGTGCACTGTTCTGCAGGATACTCTTTGGTGACTCACATTCCTGCTGG